TACTGCTTACTTCTTTATACTGTTTTACAGCATTCAAGGCTGCTTCAACAAATCCAAGTTATTTTAAGGTATTATGTGTACTGTTTATTTAACACTTTATATTAAGCCTTTTTATGACACGTACCTTCACATTTCATTAACATGATGCTGTATTTCACTCATGCTTTATCACCACATGGTGACTTGTACACACACTGATAAATTTCCTTTACGAGTTATCAGATAATGATAAAAGTATATACCTTTTAATTTAGTCAACGTATCTTCACGAGATTTGGCAAGTAAACATCACTAGTCTTTTGTTGACAAAAAAGTGAATTTCTTTAATTTAGTATTTTTAATAAAGTTTTGTCTGTATATTCATAGAATCAGTGTGTGACTCAGATTCTGACTATTCAGAGTGCAAGGTGATTTTCATGTTGAGATTAAAAATACCTTTTGTTGGTATAACTTCTAAAACCTTCTAAATGAATATCAAGTTTTTTAGGTAAAACTTTTATATTTGTTATTTGCTCTATCCTAACACTATAAAGATTTGGTCCACTTAACTGACCATGTAACCACCATAAAAATATACTAAATAAGTGTAAGTCACCCTTCTCTCTCTCTGTAGAATGACTGAGATTTTAACAAAAAATTAGAATTATTTATCTAAACAGCTTAAGGATCATAACAGTTTACATCTTTTTTATATTTAATTTTCTTGTTTTATTCTTCTTTAATCTGTGTCTAACTAATAATTCTGAGATTGTAAATTACAGTTGTAAATCACACAGAAAATGTATATCTCAAGTTACTGTATTGAAACACATAATGCATCAGCACATACAGTTTTTCTTTTGTTTGTTTGTTGTTAAGCAGAATGCTACATAAAGTGGTATCTATGCTGTGTCCACCACATGTATTGAAATCTGGTTTTTAGTATTATAAGCCTTCAGAATTTACCTAACCTACTCTACCTTAATACGCTTCTATTTTTTACATTTTGGTTACTTTTATAACAATAAATATAAAATACATACAAAACATTTGGCATCTTATTTTTTTGCTGTTGCTTAAAACCTTACCCTATTTTCTTTAACAATAGTAGTAGCACATAAAATAATTTTTATTTATTTCAAATATTCAAATATTGAAAACAAAAAAAAACATGGACAAAGCATACAATGTCCTGCAATATTATAATCTAACTAGCTTTCTAACTAAGTAATAAGTGCATTACAACAATTCCCTTAGCTGGTCAATCTGAACTCGGTGTTATCAAATTTGAATCTATAGATAATTCAGAAGATGTCATGAGAACAGAGTAGCATTAGATCATTCAGTGAATCAAAACTCTGTCTTTCTATTGGTTATAAATAGTGTACCAGGAAATGTCACAGAAAATTATTGACATTTTGTGTAAGAGAAGATATGATAAGAGTGAAACAAATGGGTTTGACTTCCTGATTCATATCTCCGTAAACAAAGAAGATTGGAGGTTATTAAAATTAGACTATGACTTATTAGTATTATACTGTAAATGTGTAATTTATATTGAACTCGGGACATCATACAGAAAATTGGCAATTTGGAGTGAAAAACAATTTCAGTTATACACACAAGCAGAAATTGAGAATTTATTTAAATATTTCCTTTTGAAATTAAGAAATTGAAACTTATATAATACAAAAATTTGATTTAATTTTATGCATTTTTAATGAAGTAATTTATTTAAATTATGAACATAACTGTGTAAAAAAGTCATGATGTGGACCCATATTGAGAGGGTTACGACAGTTAAAATTTTCATGAATAAATTTACCAATCAAAAATTTAGAATCTTAAACTTTCATTTGTATTTACCAAGGATGATTATTTACAAGAGATTCACATCTTATCAAAATATTTATAGACTTTCCCAAAAACTTTTGAAAATTCAATAGCCACATTTTAAATGCCTCAGATTAAAGGTATATCAATACTACTTTTTTCGGACAATAAAAAGTCCAATACAAATTTCAGATAAACCAAGATCATGGAAAATGCTAATATAACAGATAGTAAAAAAATGGCTATATACTATATACTGTGAACCACAGAACACAAAAGATATTGCTTAAGTAATGCATATATATTCCTTGCTATTAGTTCCTTTCTTTTCACTCTTTAACCTTATCTCCATTTACTGTGCATAACAGAAGGTTTTAGTTTCTTACATTTAAAATTTTATTATATTACTTTTTGTTTATGTTATATTAATTAGAATAGCATAAAATCTTAGCTAATAATCCATATTAATAGTATACAACTTTTAAGTTCTTAATTATAAAAGGAAATATATTAAAAAAAACTGAATTTCCACTAGTATGACACATGTGATACATTTTGTCTTAGCATGTCACCATCTCTATTTTATCCATCACCCATCGAAAATGTACGAAATTAAACATAAAATACTCTCTATAAAATCGTTATTGCTCAAACAGACCATAATTTTTATAGCCTTCAATTTTGTTTGGTTACTACTTTATTTACTATTATAAAAGTAATTAAAATTAAAAGTATGAATCTCTTTAAGTTATTTAAGATTAGATTAGGTAAAATAAGTAATAATAATAATTAAAATGGTTCATGAGGCATGCACACGAGCAGCTCGTGAGTAATGTAATTCGATAGTGTAATGTGAGCTGCAAGTTCCCAGAGTGATTTACAACTTATAATGTCACCATCTCTATTTTATCCATCACCCATCGAAAATGTACAAAATTAAACATAAAATACTCTCTATAAAATCGTTATTGCTCAAACAGACCATAATTTTTATAGCCTTCAGTTTTGTTTGGTTACAGAGCTATCGAATAGAAAATCAGCCCCCCCCTGCCACATCCACTTGTCATATCATCTCTTTCA